CCAAATGCTTTGTGATCAATTTAGCTGCACTATAGGAAGCCGTAATGTGTTTCACATCATACCTTAAAGCCATCACAGCGTTTTCTGGATCTGCGCCGTCCAGAGGAACCTCCTTCAGTGAACACAGAAGCTCCAGCTCCTTCATTTTGTTCTGTGGGCCACAAGACAAACCAAAAGAATCAATCTTTGATAAAACAATCAAAACACAATAGAGTGGAAGCAAGTAACGTTAAGAACGCACTGGAAACTCTTGTTGCATGTTGCCTAAGAACAGATGTTATTTTGGAAGTATTATATGCTCTTCTAGCAAGGTGGATTTGTAAAGGTGAATTTTCAGCTAATTATGGCAATCGAACATTAACAAAACACTTAGACACGGAAATACCATAGTATTCTCCCAGGTACCTCGAAGTGCACTTAACTGTACTGAACGTGCACTTGTAGGGTACTTTAAATCTTAGAAGTACATTTTTGAAAGCTGTAATTGCTAATAAAAAAAATTAAAAACTAAATAAAAGGCCACTTAAGTGAGAGACATTCATGACTATTTCTTAACACACTTAAGTACACTTTTAAAAAGTGTAAATAAAGTTTTACTTTAAAGTACATTTTAAATAATTGTTTTAATATTTTGTCACTTATTTTGATGTGCTGACTAACATACTGAAGCACATGTAAAGTACTTGATTATCATTTTAACTTTAGCTTCTGATATTTCATTTAATGTTAATGTTTTAATTGCACGAAATTGCAACTTCATTACAAATGTGTGATTTCGAATATATTTAAATAGAAATGACATTAAAGCATATTTTAGTCAGCACCATATTTCAAAGACAATCGAATTATGAAATTACATGTAAAGATGAACTTAAGTCAAAAGCACTCTACAGTTCAGCTAATTGCATTTAATATACATTTCAACTATAATACATTTTCAACATGCAATTAAGTGTCTAAAAACATTACATTCAGTTCACACTTTTAAAGTATATTATTCCATAGTAAGTGCTCTTTTTAAAACTATGCCTAGTGTACTTCTTTTCACAAGGATAACGATCATATGTCTCACATTACTGACCTCAAAGAAGTGATAGTCGTGGAAGAAGGGAGAGTTGTTCTCCAGTTTGCCCTGCTGAGCTTCTTCTGCTTCATTCTGCCACTTCTGCTCCAGTTCAGCTACACTCTGAAACAAACACAGACGCAGGGGTGAGATAATGTGAGATAATAACAGCATCACGCAGCATGCATGTGAGATAATA